CTGCTTTCTTTTTCAAGAATTCATAATCTCTTGCTCCCTCTGGTGTCTGTCTGCAGCACTGCACATTCTCTGGCTCTACAGCAGCAAGTGCCCCCTCTCTTGTTCTCAGCACCATCCAACATATGCTGGCCTCTTGTCAATACTCCAAGTTAAGCAAGACAGACAGCAGTCCCTCATGCAGCCCTCTAAAAAGCCATAACACTGGACATAAGCTCCACTCATCTCCCTCCCTCCTAAGGGAGAAGCTTCTCTTGATCATGCCAACCTGCACTAGCCTCTGTCTGTGGTACTGTAGGCCCTCTAGTGCTTCAGAAAGCTACCTCTGCTGTTTGAATTCAGTAGATGCCAGGTATCCAAACTATGCTGGTTCTGTCAGAGGTCTGAATCAGGCAAGACAGAAACCAGTCCTGCAAGTAGCCTTCTGAAAAGCTGAAACACTGAATGCACATTCCACAGCCCCCCCACCCTGAAGGAAAAACAAAGCCAGGGCATTCTCTCATGGCGTGCTGATTTGGGGGAGGGATGATCATGAATAAAGTGAAACAGCTCTTCTTACCCATTTAAATGTAGGTGTTCTTGGCTTTGAGCTTGCCTGGGGTACTGCAACTTCTTAATTGGTTTCTGAGTTCTCATAAATGTATTTTGGTCCTTATACTATTGTTAAGTCAGTGGCCCGGGTGGGACGGGGGGAATTGAGGACAGGACTTCCGATTCCGCGATCTTGATCTTTTCACTGGTCTTTTTATTGTCTTCCAATGGGCATGTCTTGTCTCCTTAAGGAGACATCCCAAGGCTAGAGGCCCACTGGAATGATCTGTGCACTGGAACGATCTAGGCACAGTGAAGATGCCTAAAAAGCACTTACTGAATGAAGAAAGAAGTCTGTTTTAACATATTTTAAAGCTTGCATGCTTCATGGAAGATTATATATCTGTGTTTGTTTTCATTCCTGGGCGAAACCTGTCTTAAATGAACTAGTTTTGCAGGGTTCCATATAAATTCCCCAAGAACTTATCCTAAAAATCTTACATTGTATCTACATTGCAAGAAAAAGCATGTGCTTTTACAGTGTCACATATGCTAATTTAACTTTGTAAACATTACAAAAAAAATTGTAGATGTTCCACGCATATTCAAGGTATATTCATATTCAAGGCAAATCCAACTTACTCCCAAAAGCCTCCCCAACTCTCTAAGTTAGAATTCATTCATTTGTCAAATATTTAGGAAGCACCTATTATGTGCTAGGTACTTTACTAGGTTTCTTGGGCTACTATGTAGTTCTGATGATAGACTCTCATAGTCTTTAACATTTATGTGTGCAATTTCTTCCCTCCTTAACCGTGGGCTTCTAGAGTGAAGGAACTGTGTCCCATTCACCTCTGTAACCCTGGCATCTGTACAGTACTTTGCAAATAGTAACTGAAATAAAATACAACAGTGCTAAAACATATTTCAAGTGGATAGACTAGAAGAAAAATGTCTTTAAAACCATCTGGGTTTGCTAAAGAAGCAGAAAGACCAAAGTACCTGATAATCAGGTGTCTTATAAATTCTACCAGATCACATTAATTAGCTTCTTTTATGTTTTCTATTCTTTGTAGAAAATATGTTGATGACTATTTTTTATCCCTTATTTAACAAGTTAGTTGCCCATATTTCAATCACATGTACATTAAAACCAGTTAGCAATAAAAATGGAAATGGACTCAAGTGATTTCCAGAAACATAAACATCACTGTCACCAAGTGCCCCAAACCGAGAAACACATCCTCCTGTGCTCACTGCCACAAACCCATGGCAACATTAGAATTGACAGCTATAGAATAAAGAGCCTAAAAGGATCTAAGAAAACCAGGAAGTGCCACATATAAGAAGGGATAATATGTGTTTGACAAACAAATGTCCCAAGATCCCAGTTCCAAACTGAGTAAAATTTGCAGAATAAACACAGAATGTGGTAAAATCCATTGACTGAGAGATTAAAAGCTTTTCTGAGTGTCAAGAAACCTTGACGTCACAAGCAAGGGAATATTATTCAAAGGAAAATAGGGCTTTCAAAGAAGGGGGGAATGATCAGATACTTACAAACCAGCACATGGCTGGTACTTAATAAATGACAGCTATTATGAGGAGCTAAGAACTAGGTCAAGTGTCCCTTCTTTATGATGTCCCGGGCAAAACTTACTGAACTTCCTCTGTGCTCCACAGCACTTGGTACAGGCTGCTGTCACATCACTTACTGTAAGCACTATGGACTAAATGTTTGTTCCTCTCCCCCCCTTCAAATTAATATATTGAAATCTAATCCCCAATGTAATGGTATTTGGAGGTAGGGCCTTTGAGAGGTAATTAAGAGTGAGCCCTGTGAATGAGATTAGTACCCTTATAAGAAGAGATCAGAGAGTTATCTAGCTTTCCTTCTGCAATGTGAGGATACAATGAGAAGTCAGCAGTATGCAACCTGGTAGAGGACCCACATCAGAATCTGACCATGTTGGCACCCTGATTTTGGATTTCCAGTCTTCAAAACTGTGAGAAATAAATTTCTGTTATTTATAAGCCACCAAGGCTAGATACTTCGTTATAGCAGCCTAAACTAAGACAATAGTCATCTATATGTCTGTTCCTACTCCTATGCAGGGATTTCCTGGAAGGTGAGGATCATATCCCTATGCTTTGCTGGAACTGGAAATAGTAGGCACTTAATCATTATTAAGTGAGAAAATAAATAAGCTGTCTCATACATTTCTCTCAATAAGAACAGTTTTTGACTGAAAATAGTGAAGAACCAGGATGGAAGACTCTTTCTATAAGTCTTCTTGCTTACTCCTTCACATTTTAAATGTCATTCTCTTTTGTTACTTGTTCAGAGTGATATCTCTTCTTCCACTTCCAACATAGAATAAGTTTCACAGAGTAAAATTTTCCAGATGATGTATCATGGAGTGGTGGGACACTATGGGGTTGCTTTTCTTTTTTTCTGTTTTTCATTCTTATTTTGAAATAATTTTAAACCAAGTATTGCAGAAATAGAGTTCCCTTCACCCAGTGTCCTCTACTATTAATATCTTCCCAAACCATAATATAATTATTGAGAAGAAGAAATTAACACTGAGCCAATAAAATTAAGTATTGTGTACACCCTATTCAAATTTCCCAGTTTTCCCACTAATGTACTTTTCCTGGTCCAGGATCCCACATTAATTTAATTGTTACATCTCTTTATTCTCCTCCATTCTGTGAGAGTTCCTCACTTTTTCCTTGTCTTTCTTGACACTGACATTTTTGAAAACTACCAGTTAGTTTTTGCATCGAATGTCCCTCAATTTGGGTTTGACAGACCTAGGTTTGACTCATTGCTCAGTGACTTACATCTGTGTAATCTTGGGCAAGCCAATGTCTCTGGGACTTAAGTCTACCAGTTAGTTTTTGCATCGAATGTCCCTCAATTTGGGTTTGACAGACCTAGGTTTGACTCTTTGCTCAGTGACTTACATCTGTGTAATCTTGGGCAAGCCAATGTCTCTGGGACTTAAGTCTCCTCATCTGTGTAATGGCATAATAATACTGACTTTATGAGGCTGTTCTGAAAATTAAATGAGGTAATATATATTAAAATACCTGAGATATAAGGCCATGCAACAAATGTTAAGTCTTTTCTCCTTGTGTGGTGCCTTTCAATTATTTCTGATAGACTTTTTGCTAAAATGTCTTACCCATATTTTAATGTCTTCTTTTGCATATAACACCTTATATAATTTAGTATGACTGAAGACTGTCATCACTATAAACAGCCATTGTTGTACTGTATAACAGTTCTAGGTCTGTGTCTTTGGTCTCCCTCACTGTTGTCCCTTCTCATTATCAGTACGCCTGCCTGTAAGGGCTTCACAATCCCCCTTCTGATTTCCAGCTTGTGATGCATAGGGATTCATTTATTCACATATACAGGCATTCAATGATGTACTGAATCTAAATGCCAGGCCTTGTGTTAGAATCTTGGACATCGTGATGTTACCTCCTATCCTCATCATTTTATGGCTAGTGGGAGAAATGGACAAGTAAGTAGTTAATTAAAATTCAATGTGATTAATTCTTTGAGAGATGTAATTCCTAGGATTATATAAGAAGTATACTTAACCTGGACTGAGGAAAGAGTCAGGTTGGGGAAGATTTCATGACGAAGGTGCCATTATGCCTCAGTTAAGGTCTGAAAAGTGTGTAGAAATTAGCCAGATGGAGCAGGAAAGAGCAAAAGGCATGTAGTTTAAGAAAGAGCTATTAGAACTGTGCTGAGTAAATCAGTTCTGAATAATAAATCTCCTGTGTTATAAACTTCCAGCTTGACAATGATTTTGTGCCAGTACCTCAGGGGCTCAGAAACTTCACCAGGAAACTTCTGGCCTCAGAGCTCTGTTCTGGAGACTGATGTTGACAGACCCAAAGCTTTGGATATTATACTGAGCTTACCTCTTTCAACATCTGTGAACTGAAGTAAAATTTCAGGCGACAATTAGCTCCTTATTCCTTTTTCAAAAGTATAATAGATTTGTCCCTTTCTGATACAGGAGTTTCTTACCCTTTTAATTTATTTTTTAATCTATATGACCATCAAAAAATCCTTTTTAAACTGACCCTTTTAACCTAGCTGGCAAGAGAGGTTTTGAGGCTTTTCCAGCTACAATACTCACTCGTGTGGCTTCAGAGGTTTGGCTTTGGGTCCAACTGATTCCAAAGCCCCAGTCTAATCATGTAAATTTGTGATCTTAGCAAAGATATAAGTCTATTAACCATTAAATATTGGAGAATCCAATTCAAAAATTTCAAATTATTAGGAGGTTTCTCTGCCAGTCTCTATTTTACTCTCCCAATTATCTTTACTTTTTTTTTTTTTTTTTCAATCTGGAGAGTAAATAACTGAATTCTTTTAGTTTTATCCACAGGGAAAATTTCCCAAACCTTAACTGCCTCTAATTCAAAGCAATAATATTACATACCGTCAACTGGTGTATCAGGAGGTCCATTAAGAAGGTAATCTTGTTACTAAACAGAACATTGGTGCAGTTTTCTGAACAGTTATTGCAGGTGAGGTTGTAAACATTGATTGCATTGCAGAGAGACCTAATAGAAAGAGAAAAACACCATTTGTAAAACCTGAGCAGCTCTTCTCCAAACAATTTAAAATACATAAAATGAATAGTACAAAAGCAACAGGCATGGGATGGAAGTCACTCTAAAAAACTAAGCCAAATACTATTAGGTACAAGGTCCGTTAGCTAAATATAAAAACAAATAATTTTCATCCAAAGCCCAGTGCTCATCGGTACCTAATAGTTACATCTTATTAATTTCCAGTAGTTGCCGCTGTAGACAATGGAAATATATTTACTTGTCTATGATAATTTCTTAATACTGTGAGACTATACTCTTAACCAGTAGACTCTACTGTTCCCAGTTTTCAGGAACCTACCAATTACGTGAAGCAAGGTACAAATATATCAGATAAACAGATTATTACAAGTACAGCAGGGGCTGTCTTCCCCATCTCTCTCTCACTAGAGTGTCACCTGCATGAGGACGGAGAGCTTGTCTGTTTTATTCATCTGGCACAGTGCCTGGAACATCATAGGAACTTAGACATTTGTTGAGTGAATGAACACTCAGGTGGTGGTTTCTGGGTACTTTGAATAATACCTAGAAAAAAGGCTTTGTCAAAACTTCTGTTGCCAGATCTCCTGTTCCAGGATAAGGGCGGATTATGGAAGAAGAGACAACACACAAGGAGAAACTGGAGGTTTTCCCTGTGAGACAAGACCCATGGAGTTCTGGGGAGTGAACATCACACCTGCTTGGAGGCTGTATGGACATGAACCAAGAGTGCCTGAGCAGGTGAGGACATCTTTCCTAGAGGGTACAAACTGGTCTGTGTGGGCCCAAATCGTTTAAGGTCAAACTGATCAAAGAAATGTCTTTCTCTAGGGGATTAAAAAAAAATGATATGCTGTTGCTCAAAGAAACTTTTGGAGCAACAAGCTCGATGGGCCTGGCATTCTCCTGGGTGTTTTGAAGACTGAATAATACCTGCATTGCCTGAGTAATCAATGTTTATCCTGATCTGTCTAATTAAATCTCCCACTTAAGTCCTATGCAAAAAGGTTTTGATTTAGTCTCACAACAACCAATCCTCTCTCTAGGACGGTAGTTCTCAAAAGTGTGATCCACAAACCGGCAGCATCAATATCACCTGGGAACTTGTTGGAAATGCAAATCCTCAGGCTCCACCCCAGATTTAGTAAAAAGAAACTCTGGGAGTGGGGTCAAGCAATTTTGCTTCAACAAGTTCTGCCACTAATTCTGACAGATGTTCAAGTTAGAGAACCACTGCTCTAGGATAGAGGTTCTGTATCCTGACTGAATATCAGAATCACCTATAGATCTTTAAAAATATATTCTTGCCTGAGTTCCTCCCCTGATGATGCTATTTGGGGGATGGGGTAGGCTCCTGATATCTGAATGTCTGAAAAGCTTGGTAGGCAATTCTTATCTGTAGCCAGAGTTAAAAACCACATGTCTAAGAACCACCATGTGAGTGTTCATTCATTCAACAAATATCTAAGTTCCGATGATATTCTAGGTGCTGTGCTAGGTGGACAAGACAGACAATCTCTCCGTCCTCATGCAGGTGACGCTCTAGTGAGAAAGAGATGGGGAAGACAGCCCCTGCTGTACTTGTAATAATCTGTTTGTCTGATATATTTGTACCTTGCTTTGCATAATTGATAGGTTCCTGAAAACTGGGCACGGTAGAGTATACTGGTTAAGAGTAGAGACACTGGAATGAGATACACCTAGGTTACAATCCCAGTTCTACCACTCAAGATTTTAGCAAGTTACTAATTAACATCTGGATGCTCACCTATAAAACCAGGAGGATAATACCTAAGCTTCATTAGGGTTATTAATCTTATTATTATGAATAAGGTAAAAAAAGAAAAGTTAATAAATTGGGTGAAATTAAAGCATGGTATAAGAAGCTTATTTCCAGGATAATAAAGCAGTACCTCCCAAAATTTTTCATGGTATGCTGGCGTTACTGATGAAAGGACTCTAAGATGGGAGTAAGAATAAGATGGGAGCCAGGAGGAGACTCAGCTGTTCCTGGCCTTCCCCAATCTCCCTGAGGACTGAACAGAAAAACCTTGGCCCACATGTAACACATTTATAACACATTGGTTGAAGGCTCTGTTTAGCAAATCCTTCACAAATGTAAATCAGCACCATTTCATTTATTTGATAACGTATCAATTTTCAAAAGAGTGCTTTTCAATTTTAAAAATAACATATTTATGACTATAAAAATTAATAAATAATTGTAATGAATTTGGCAAACAGAAGCACAAAGAGTAAAATATTATCAAAAGAAAAATTTGGTATTTGTACTTGCAGTCTTTTTCCTATTTTTATAAATATTTATTCACCCCATTTTTCCATTTCTTAATAAATATATAATGAACAGTTTTCCATGACATTTAATATTCTTCTACAACACTGGTTTTTCAGTTTTTAAAAAGAGCAAAACAAAATCTTGCTCAGAAGCTTAAACCACAGAACAAATAAAATCAGAGTTGCTCTTGCTGAAGCAGAAGTGGAGGACCCAGGGCCCTACCCTGCTCCCTCCTCTCATAGAGCGTTGAAGCCTTCCTCAGAGGCCTTGGGATACAGTGAAAACTACTGAGGCTCTTGCTGAAGCAGAAGTGGAGGACCCAGGGCCCTACCCTGCTCCCTCCTCTCATAGAGCCTTGAAGCCTTCCTCAGAGGCCTTGGGATACAGTGAAAACTACTGAGCTAATATATAACTACTTGGTAACTTTCCAAATGGATCACGATGCCTACCACAGTACAATATACAGAAGGAGGAGTATATGATGAAAGCATTTCCCTCTTACTCACATCCCCCTGCCTCACCTTAGAAATCACCAAGACTACTGGTTTATATATCCCTCCAGAGACAGTCCGTGCACACACAAGCTTCTTATTCCCCTCCTGCACAAACAGTATCCTACAAGACTTGGAGGTTGAATGTGAGTCAAAAACATCTTCCTGTGGTTTGGGGCTGTTGGTTGCTACTATTAAGCAAGGTTTGGAAATGTGCGGCTTTCCTACAGCAGCACTCCAGGGTCCATTTTCCAGCTTCCTGGGTATCAAGAACCAGTGGGGTAAACTATGTTACTTGATTCAATTTCTTAATCTCTGATCTGCAGCTTCAGGTATGTGCTCTGTGGTTTCCTGGGTGTGACAGATAGTTATGTGTGTGGCATTAATTTATTTCCTTCCTAACTTGTGTTGGCCTCGGAGAGAACACCACCCCTCATGGATCTGTTTGGTATTGTTTTTGGAGTCAATCCAGAAGTCTTCCAACAATTTTCCAAGTACCTAATGTCTTATTCTAAGTTCCTTTTCTGATTAAAATGCTGAGAAATACTGCATGATTTTTTAAAGGCTGAATAGTGTCTCATCCCATGGATATAAAAATTTACTTCAACCAACCTTTTACTATTGTTGTGTTTAATTTTCAATGTTAATAAATAATGCTGTTTTAATAGTTAGAGTTCTAAGTTTCAAGCCACAAGGAAAAAAGTTCTAATTAATATAAATAAAAAGGAAATTAATTGACAGGCTATTGGGTATATCATAGAATTTGGAAAACTCAGGCGTAGAAGGTGTACTTCCAAGACCAATATCCAAATTACACACCACTGAACTGTTCTGCTAAAAAAAAAAAACAAAACACTGGGCACCATATGCTACAGCCTGAACTGACACTGTTGTGTACTTCCAAGACCAATATCCAAATTACACACCACTGAACTGTTCTGCTAAAAAAAAAAACACTGGGCACCATATGCTACAGCCTGAACTGACACTGTTTAAGTCTGGACACTAGATATAGCTGCCTCCAACACTGGAAAGAATAGATTTTGGGATATTCGTGTTTCTTCACTTCAGAGTAAAAGTCTGGAGAGGGTATGTTGGGTTGTCAAGTTTCTTGGTCACATGCCTGCATCCTAGACACAATGAAGACTGGGAAGCAAATACCTGGTGTTCTCAGGTTCTAGAATCAGAGAGCCATCTTACATGCTTACATGCTTGGGAAAGCTGCAAACGTAGGATGGTGGATGAGATGCTGGGCAGCTTAACAGCACAACCCATGTTTACAACAGCTGCTAAACAAATCATTCTGTACCACTCTACCTGTTTCCTTAGGATAAATTTCCAGTAATAATAATTTGGGTCAAAGGATATGAACATTTTCAAGCTTTTGATTGACACTGCCAAATTCAAACTGCTATCTGGAAAAAAAGTTTTAAACCAATTTATACTCTCAGGAAAAGATTTTCTCCATGCTTTTACTAACACTGGATAATCTCATTAAAACAAATCTTACCAATTTGACAGCTAAATAAAAATGGTATTTTTAAAGGCTGCATTTCTTTTATTACTAGAATGATTAAAGTTTTTTTTTCAGAATCAGGAGTTATGTCACCAAGATGGCGGAATAAATGATTCCCAGCATTGTTCCCCTTCACAAGAGATCAACTTCCAACTATTAAAACACAAAAACTGCCGTCATGAAACCACTGGAATTCGGAATAAGAGGAGAAGAGGCCTGCTGAGTGAATGAAGGCATGAAAGGCCACAGTGAGTGGGAGGGATCCCAGGACAGCAGGGCACAGTACATTGGGCAGCTGCCAGCACATAGAGCAGCTACATGAAGACAGCAAAGCCACAGCAGCGCCCTTTGTATGAAGCTACTTGGAATCTACAGGGTAGAAGGGTGCCATGACCGCTGGCCAAAAAAAAAAAAAAAAGAAAAAGAAAATCACTTTCATTTTCTGGGCCAGCAAAGTGCTCCCAAGCATTCCCTGTGCCCACAGAGGAGGGAGGGGCCTCAGCCGACAAGAGGAAGAAACTACTTTGGGGAGTCCCATATCCCACCTTCAGGACCAGCATGGCAATGTACACTGAGATGGTCACTGGATTTGCTATCTCAGAGATGAGAGAAGAGATCAGGAGGTAGGTATCTAATTTTCCCAGAGATCTGTCTTAGTGGGGGACTCGTG